AGTGGCACAAACCAAATTAGTGTCTATTTTCTGATTTCTCAAACAGTCCCAGAAAATGAAGAAAGAAGTTTTTCTTCCAAAAATACAGTCACCCAAAACAACTCCCCTCCTTACCAGTGAGGAAATGCTCAGAGCAACATTGATGTTCCTTCTTCTGGGACCATGAGATTGCTCAGAAACAAGAGGTGCTCTGAACAAACTACAAAATCACTCCACCTTCTCCAGCAGAAATAATATTCCCCCAATAAAGAATTAGAAGGAAAACAGAAAAAGCCTTGCTAATATGACCTCCAGCATGTGTAGGGCACTTCAATCCTGCAATGACTAGGATTCCAAAAGCTCTCTGAGGAACAAATAAACCCTGTGGTTTTACAACATGATGGGTTAAACACAGTGTCAATATGAAAAGCTGCAATTTCAAAATTAAAACATTTTCTGAACTGTCAAAATAACTCATCAGTTTGAAGTAAATTCTGAAAGACTCCCAAAAGAGTCAACTTATTACCAAAGAAAACTGATTAATAAGTCTAGTATTGATCTGGCAAAAGCCTTTGCCATTCCCTTTGAAAGCTCTCCCCACAGCAACACACTGGGAATTCAGCAGGATGGCCCCCAGGGAAATCACTAAAGCAAAAATAATAAAAGGAAAGAAGAAAATGAAAGAAATATCAAGCATTGACTCTGCGGGTTTCTGAGTTCTCCTCTTTCACATGAATTAATGTGATGTTCAGCAAAAAAAACAAAACAACAAGCTGTCCATCTAAGGGAATGCATTATTCCTTGTAAGCACAGGAATAAACCACTGGTCTCCAATATCCAACTATTTAAAGCACCTACAATAACATGGGATGAGGAAAAATTCAAATGAACTGATGCAAATACATCCACAAGGATCCAAAATTAAAAACCCAACACCTTTCTGTGTCCCTCAGAGGAAGATCTGGGAATTTTCTTGTGCTCAGATTACTGTTAAAAGCAGTACTGGATTTATTCAGACCCAAAAGATCAAGACTGTTGGGAAAGATGTGATTTAGAGATTCAGGCCCAGCCTACATGTCTCTGGTGAGGAGTTCAGATGCTTCCATATAAATGGAAATGATCCACATGAATAGATATTTGATAACGCTGCCTAACGGAACTTCATTGCATTTTCAGATGTTTCCCCACCGGGTTATTGAAATTCTTGCTACTGGAAGGAGAGAGGACTCACCAGGAAACCTGCAGCTTGTTCTGAAAGGCATCAACGTGGGAAGATTAAGATTTGCTCTTTCCCACCCCATTAGGACTCAAGTGAGGAAAGAGGTTTATCCAGCTGAAAGCATAAGGCAAAATTAGGAAGGCAGAGTGTAGTTGAGCTAATTGTGGTTTCCTACACCAACCAAAGCATAATTAACAACAGCTGCCTATAAATATACATTTTTTTCCCCCCTGTCTGAAGTTCCGTGGACACTTTTCCCATTCGTCTGCAGAGCTCTGCTCTGCCATGGACACCTGCCAGTCTCCAGCAACTTTAGGCAAAGATCAATCCATTTTCTAATTAGAGGTGTGAAAGGCCCCAAACAATGACTTCTTGACATAATCTAATGTCAACTGTTTCCAAAAAAAAAAAAGAAGAATGCTAAATAATCAAGTAGCAAGCTGCCAGGGAGGTGTGTAGAGGGAACTGTGAGGAGCTGTGTTATTCTCTGTGTAGGTTGATTAGAATTTTAAAGAAAATGTAATGTTTCTCCCAACCCTATTTTCCCATTTATAACCCAGAGCATGAAATCTTCCAGGCTGTATCTTAGATCCTCCCAGATGCTGATCTCACTCAGCTTGGGTGCTTGAGAGATAGTCTGCAATGTTACTTTCCTGAGAAGGAAAAGGAACTATATCAGTGTGAGGTGAATCCCTGGGTTGGAGAGGCTTAATACACAATGCAGGTTTGGCTGAGCTAAACTTATCCTTCCTTGCAGGTTCCTTCCTTTCTTGCAGCTGACTCCCACTTCCTGTAGAAGAGATAATTGCCCCTTCTACTCCCATCCCTCTCTGATCACTACTATGGATGGAAAATGTAAAAGAAATGTTTATCACAAGTGAATTATTTTCATTTCTTGTAGCAAACCAGAAGAAAAGCACCAGCCTCAAGCAGCCCACCCTGCAGAAAGCAGCCAACGACTGGATCTTAAAACAACTGTGTAGGCAGAGCTGTTTATTCCACTTTGCTTTCCACTCCATTGCATCAATGCATTTATTCACTCTTGCAGCACTGTGGATCTATTTCATTATGCTGGCCAATCTTTCTTTATATTATATTGTGGTAGTTTAGTCTAGGCCTTCCTTGGTGACCAGTTTGTAACCAAGTGTGATATATAAATAATTGTGATTCCTGAAACAAATGGGTGATTACATCAAAATAAAACAAACGGATTGTAAAACTTAATTACACCCCCATAAAGAAATAAAACAGACCCTCACAAGGTCAAGAGGCCTAAAACCTCCTTACTATCCTAAGAATGAAATATAGTTGAACTTTAAATCTTTAGGCGCCTGTTCGTCCAAGAATGCATGAATTATGACTGGTTGTAGAGATAACCCATATATTAAATACTTAGCAAAAACCTGTAGAATGTATATGTATATGATATAATTAATATGCATGAAGTAGCTAAGATAAATACTAAATGTACCCTGTAGTAAGGGTGTGCAGATTTGGGAAACTGGTCCCATTTCTGTCACCCAGCCGGCTGCTTGCTTTTACCATATAATAAACTATTATTCGAAACTTATAGAAACTCGAGACTTTGTTTATCACACAAGGAAGTGCCCAGATTTACCCAGTATTCCCTACGATTTTTACGTAAGCCGGGGTATAAGAAGAAAGGAAGAGAGGCCTTCGCTCTCTTTCCTTCTGGCAGCTTGGAGGTGCAGGTTCCCTGCTGTTGAGTCTGCCGTGTTGGGGAGCGAGGCCTGGTAATGCCTTGTCGACCTTGGGAGGCGGAGGTTGCCAGCGGTTGTTCCAGCGCGACTTTCTGTTGTCCCAAGGAGAGTAGTAAGATATTCTTTTGCTAATTCTTTTAGTTGCTAGATCTTGGGCTACTGATTGTGTATATTTTATTTTGGTTTTGTTCCTTTTTTCCTTTCCCCTCCCCTTTCCCTTTTCCCTTTGAAACTGTACATATATTTCAATTGTATATAACTGTAATATAAGTGTAAATATATTTATATATATATATTGCTTTAGCTGTCTCTCTCTCATTTCAGTTCTCTTGGGTTTTTTTCCTCTTCTCCCTTGGTTTGTGGGGGGGGAGTCTTGTGGTGAGGTTTGGGGACTTGGCAGGGAGCCAGCTTCAAACCATATCATATATATATATATATATATAGATGCAGCGCAGAGTTGTCTCTTTCAAGAGACACGAGATTACTGCTGAAATCATGGGCTGCACTTAATCAAATGTGAGACAAGACTAGATTTGTCCTAAAGATTTCTGCCAAGCTGAGACCTTGGCCAGTCAGTCCAAATACAGCATGAGGTGCTTATGAGGCTAAAACACCTCAGTGATTTCAAGTGCCAGACAACACAGTGTGCATCTCCCAGAACTGGAGAATCAGCTTCTCTTGCCAAAAAGAACCTCACTGAAAGAAAAAAACGTGGCATTGCTAACCTGAAATAGCAACATTAAAGCAAGATCCCAAGGTACAGAAGAGCTGTTTTTATCATGATGGAAATTGTACCTGAAAATACAGGTAGACTTCATGCCCTGAAATACAAACTTTTTGCCCTTTATTTCCATGAGATGTCGCATCTGAGAGTGCAGCCACAGTACAGCCAGCACCCCAAGCCAAGGGCAAACCCAGCCTCAGCCAGCACCTCCAGCCTAACAACAGCTATATCTCAGGGTTACCAAGGTTGGAAGAGACCTTTAAGGTCATCTAGTCCAACTGTCAACCAAGCACCACCACTGTAACCCCTAAACACCTAAACCACATCACCCAGCCCCAGATCCAGATGCCTCTTGAATGCCTCCAGGGATAGTGAATCCATGACCTCCCTGGGTGGCAGAATCTCTCCCTATTCCAATGCCTGACTACTTGAACAGTGAAAATTTGGTTTCCAATATCTAATCTGGATTTCCCCTGTCTCAATTAAAGGCCATTCCCTCTTTCCTTTCACTGCAGGTGCAGCAAACAGACCAGACCCCACCTCACCACAACCTCCTGTTCGGGGGTGGGGGTGGGGGGAAGTTGTACAGAGTGATTCTGTTGCTTTGAAGAGAAAGAATTACAGGTGTCTTGAGAGCCACCTGTGTTCATCTTCTGGGATACGATACAATGTCCTAAAGGTAAAAGAGTAATTTAAAAATAACGGTAAAAAAGTAAATTTAAAATTACCTACTGTTTCTCTTGGCTTTTCTGTTCTAATGGCAAAACAGAGCTGTGGCTGACCTGGAGCGTAGGATGCTTTTAGCAGAAGTCATTGTAACAGTCCATGGCCAGCCCTTTAATCCGTGTTTTTGCAACGATTTCTGATGTTTAATATGTGTAACAGGCATGGCTTGGTGTGGAAGGCCTGGTGGAGGGACTGGGAAACCTCATGGTGTTCCCATTTAGAGCCTATTCTGCTCTCCCCCATGCCCAGCCCAGGACAGAGCTGATGGCCATGGGACGTGGGGCTGTCCTGGGCTGGCTGTTGGGCACCAACGCTGTCAGTAAAGTGCTCTTTATCCTGGTTTGTAAGGAGAGTCAGGAATTTTGGAGGTGCCTGGTATCGTTGTTATGACGAGTCTCCTCTTTTCGAGACTAAACCCCCCCCAGCTCCCTCAGCCGCTCCTCACCAGCCGAGTGTTTCAGACCCTCCACAAGCCTTATTCCCCTTCTCCGGATACGCTCCAGCGCCTAAATGCCTTTTTTAGAGCGCAGGGTCCAGAGCTGGACGAGGTGCAACTTCCCACCTCCATCAGAGCGAGAATGTTTTAAGGCAGGACCGGCCGCCTCGGGGGCGGGACTGCCCGGACTGCCCGCCCCGTGCCCGCCCCATCCCCGCCCCGTGCCCGCCCCATCCCCGCCCC